TGTTGGGGTGGGGGTCCCGGCGGGGTCTTGGGGCTGGGGTGGGGGTCTCATACAGAGAACATGTTTGGGGGGGCTCTCAGGGCAGGGCAGGTGGTCCCAGACCTTGGGGGATTGGGTCAGGGGGCTCCCCAGGGCAGGGGTCTCAGGGCCATTTGGGGCTGGGTCAGGGGGGTCTCAGGGATGCCCAGACTGAGCTGGGGGTCCCGTGGGGTCCCAGGGATACCCAGACTGAGTCGGGGGTCCCAGAACCACCCATCCTGGGTCTGGGGGTCCCATCCATGCCCAGACTGGGTCAGGGGGGTCTCAGGGATGTCTGGACCAGGGCAGGGGTCTCGGGACCCCCAAAAGGGGCTCAGGGATTCCCAGAATGAGCTGGGGGTCCCAGGACCACCCATCCTGAGTCGGGGGGTCCCAGGGATGCCCAGACCAAGTCAGGGGTCCCAGGGGCTCCATCCTGGGCCAGGGGGTCTCAGGGATGTCTGGACCAGGCCAGGGGTCTCAGAACGCCCAAAGGGGTCTCAGGGATACCCAGACCAGGTCGGGGGTCCCGGGGATACCCCGATCGAGCTGGGGGTCCCAGGACCACCCATCCCGGGCCAGGGGGTCCCATCTGTGCCCAGACCGGGTCAGGGGTCCCAGGATCATCCATCCCAGGTCAGGGGGTCTCAGGGATACCCAGACCGAGTCAGGGGTCCCAGGACCACCCATCCCGGGCCGGGGGGTCCCATCCGTGCCCAGACTGGGTCAGGGGTCCCACCCATGCCCATCCCGGGTCGGGGGGTCCCATCCATGCCCAGAGTGGGTCAGGGGGTCCCAGGGATGCCCATCCCGGGTCGGGGGTCCCATCCATGCCTATCCTGGGTCAGGGGTCCCAGGACCACCCATCCCGGGTCTGAGGGTCCCATCCATGCCCAAACCAGGTCGGGGGTCCCATCCATGCCCAGAGTGGGTCAGGGGGGTCTCGGGGATACCCAAACCAGGTCGGGGGTCCCAGGGATGCCCATCCCGGGTCTGGGGGTCCCATCCATGCCCAGAGTGGGTCAGGGGTCCCAGGATCATCCATCCCAGGTCAGGGGGTCTCAGGGATACCCAGACCGAGTCAGGGGTCCCAGGACCACCCATCCCGGGCCAGGGGGTCCCATCCGTGCCCAGACCGGGTCGGGGGTCCCAGGGATGCCCATCCCGGGTCGGGGGGTCCCACCCATGCCCAGAACCCCCCCCGCCCCGCCCGCGGTGCCACCCCCGTGTCCCCTGTGTGTCCCCCAGGGCCACGCGGACCCCGAGGGTCAGTACCAGAACCACCTGGAGGCCGAGGGGCTCTACGGCGACCCCGAGCTGCCCTACCCCGGCCACGGCGACCCCGACGGGGCGTACCCGGCTCACCTGGAGCGCGACGGGACCTACCCCGAGCACCTGGAGCACGACGGCGGCTACGCCGAGCACCTGGAGCGGGAGCGGCCCTACCTGGAGCGCGACGCGCAGTTCGAGGCGCTGGCCGAGCGCGACGGGCCCTACCCGGGCCGAAAGGAGCGGGACAGAGCCTACCTGAGCCGGGCCGAGCGGGACGGGCCCTACGCGGCCCGCGTGGAGCAGGAGGGGCAGTTCCACGGCTGCCTGGAGCGGGACCTCCAGTACCAGCCGCACCTGGAGCGAGAGGGGCAGTACGGGGGCAGGATGGAGCAGGACGGGCAGTACCCGGGCAGGATGGAGCAGGACGGGCAGTACTCCAGCCGGATGGGGCAGGACGGGCAGTACCCGGGCAGGATGGACCGCGAGGGGCCGTTCCCGGGCAGGATGGAGCAGGACGGGCAGTACCCGGGCAGGATGGACCGCGAGGGGCCGTTCCCGGGCAGGATGGAGCAGGACGGACAGTATTCCACCCGGCTGGACCGCGAGGGGCCGTACCCGGAGCGGGACGGGCAGTACGCGGGCAGGATGGAGCAGGACGGGCAGTATGCCACCCGGCTGGACCGCGAGGGGCCGTACCCGGGCCGGCTGGAGCGCGAGGGGCCGTTCCCGGGCAGGATGGAGCGCGAGGGGCCGTTCCCGGGCAGGAAGGAGCAGGACGGGCAGTATGCCACCCGGCTGGACCGAGAGGGGCCGTACCCGGGCCGGCTGGACCGAGAGGGGCCGTTCCCGGGCAGGATGGAGCGCGAGGGGCCGTTCCGGGCCCGGGACGGGCACTACGGGAGCTGCTGGGAGCGGGAGTGGGCGCGGGCGCCGCTGAGCCGCGGCGCGTCCCGCAGCTCCAGCCCCGGCGGGGGACACAGCACCAGCGCCAGCACCAGCCCGGCCACCACCCTGCAGCGCAAGTACGGCACGGCCGGGGGGCGAAAACGGGGTGGGGGCCTAAAAACCGGGATTGGGAATGGGGGAAGGGGGCAAAACCGGGATTGGGAATGGGGGAAGGGGGCAAAACCGGGATTGGGAATGGGGGAAGGGGGCAAAACCGGGATTGGGAATGGTGCCAAAAAATGGGACGGGAATGGACCCAAAAATGGGATGGGAATGGGGTCCTAAAAACCGGGATTGGGGATGGTGATAAAAAATGGGATTGGGAACGGACCCAAAAACGGGATTGGGGATTGGGGGATGATGCCTAAAAATGGGATTGGGGATGGACCCAAAAACGGGATTGGGGAATGGGGACGGGGCCAAAAATGGGATTGGGGAATAGGAATGAGGCCAAAAACGGGATGGGGAATGGACCCAAAAAACGGGATTGGGGAATGGGGGATGGTGGCTAAAAACGGGATTGGGGAATAGACCCAAAAACAGGATTGGGAATGGACCCAAAAACGGGATTGGGAACGGTGATAAAAAATGGGATTGGGGATGGACCCAAAAAACGGGATTGGGAATGGTGATAAAAAATGGGATTGGGGATGGACCCAAAAAACGGGATTGGGGAATGGGGACGGGGCCAAAAATGGGATGGGGAATGGGGATGGGGTCCTAAAAAGGGGATTGGGGGTGGGGACGGGGTCAAAAAATGGGATTGGGAATGGGGGGTGGCCCTAAAAGCGAGATTGGGAACGGACCCAAAAAATGGGGTTGGGGAATGGACTCAAAAAACGGGATTGGGAATGGACCCAAAAAAAGGGATTGGGGATGGACCCAAAAAAAGGGATTGGGGATGGACCCAAAAAAAGGGATTGGGAATGGATCCAAAAAACGGGATTGGGGATTGGGGGGCAGTGCCAAAAACGGGACTGGGAATGGGGGATGGTGCCAAAAACCGGGATTGGGAATGGACTCAAAAAACGGGATTGGGGATGGACCCAAAAAATGGGATGGGGATGGGGGCGGGGACAAAAACGGGATGGGGAATGGACCCAAAAAATGGGATTGGGAATGGTCCCAAAAATGGGATTGGGGAATGGTGCCAAAAAATGGGAATGGGGATGGGGACGGGGCCAAAAACAGGATTGGGAATGGACCCAAAAAACGGGATTGGGAATGGACCCAAAAAACGGGATTGGGGATTGGGGGGCAGTGCCAAAAACGGGACTGGGAATGGGGGATGGTGCCAAAAACCGGGATTGGGAACAGCCCCAACAAACGGGATTGGGAACGGGCCCTAAAAACAGGATTGGGGTGAGGAATGACCCTAAAAACGGGATTGGGGTGAGGGACGGTGCCAAAAAACGAAATTGGGGTGGGGGGTTGCACCAAAAAATGGGATTGGGGTTTGGGGGATGGTGCTAAAAAACGGGATTGGGAACAGCCCCAAAAAACGGGATTGGGGTAGGGAACAGTGCTAAAATCTAGGATTAGGGGTGGGGAACGGCCCCAAAAACTGGAGTTGGGAATGGCCCTAAAATCAGGGATTGGGGGTGGGGAATGGCCTCAAAACCCAGGATTTGGGATCGGGAACGGCCCTAAAATCCGGGACTGGGTTAGGGGGGTTCAGGAAGATCCCTCTAAAATGGAGGATCAGGGGTCAGGAACGGCCCCAGAATCGGGATCTGGGATTTGGGAAGGCAGAATACGGGACTCCCACCAAAACCTGGGATTTGGGGAGCTGGGGTTCCCAAAATCCGGGATTTGGGATCGGGGATTCCTCCCTCCAACCCCCCAAAATTGGGGATTTGGGAATTTGGGATCCCCTCCCAAAAATCAGGGATTTGTGGGATTTGGGATTCCCAGAATCGGGGAGTTGAGGAATTGGGATTGTCTCCCCAAAATCGCGGATTTGTGGGATCCAGGATTCAGGATTCCCTCCCCAAAATCCAGGATTTGGGGTTGGGGACTCCTCCCTCCAACCCTTCAAAATCGGGGATTTGTGGGATTTGGGATTCCCAAAATCAGGGATTTGTGGGATTTGGGATTCCCAAAATCAGGGATTTGTGGGATTTGGGATTCCCAAAATCAGGGATTTGTGGGATTTGGGATTCCTTCCTCAACCTGGGTCCCTCCCCGGGGTGGGGGAGGGCGGCAGCGGAGTCGCGACAGCGCCGTTCTGTCGCGACAGCGCCGTGTCCCCCCCCATCCCGCATGTCGTGACAGCCGCGACACAGCCGGGCAGGGCCGGGATATCGCGACAGGGCCCGGATATCGCGACAGGGCCGGGATATCGCGACAGGGCCCGGATATCGCGACAGGGCCGGTCGATCGGGGGGTGACATGTCGCGTGTGGCAGGCGTCATGTCGCGACAGGCGGGGCCGCGCGGGCGGCGTTGCCGTGGTGACGGGGACAGCGCCGGTTCCTCAAAATCGAGGATTTGGGGATCCGGGACTTCCCAAAATCGGGGATTTGTAGGATCTGGGATTCCCAAAATCTGGGTTTTGTGGGATTTGGGATTCCCTTCCCAAAATCTGGGATCTGGGATTTGGGACTTCCCAAAACTGGGGATTTGTGGGATTCGGGATTCCCAAAATCGGGGATTTGTGGGATTTAGGATTCCCAAAATTCTGGATTTGAGGATCCGGGATTCCGTAAACCGGGAATTTGGGATTCCGTCCCCAAAATCGGGGATTTGTGGGATTTGGGACTCCCAAAATCGGGATTTTTGGATGCGGCCCCCCCTGGGGGGGAGGAGCAGGTGCGGGACCCGCGGGGGGGGAGGGGCGTGACGTCAGAGCCCCCCTCCCCCCCCCGGCACCGTCTGTCTGTCCGGGGGCACCCGGGGACAGACCTGGGGGCCGGTCGATCGGGGGGTGACATGTCGCGTGTGGCAGGCGTCATGTCGCGACAGGCGGGGCCGCGCGGGCGGCGTTGCCGTGGTGACGGGGACAGCGCCGGGGAGGTGACAACGGGGGGGGCGTTGCCGTGGTAACGGGAGGAAACCCCCCCAAAAAAAGGCAAAATGGCCCCGAAACGGCCACGGGGTGGGGGGTGACACCGCCGGGACAGTGACACAGGGACAGGGACACAGTGACGGTGACAGTGACACAGGGACAGTGACAGTGACAGTGACACAGGGACAGGGACACAGTGACAGTGACAGTGACACAGGGACACAGGGACAGTGACACAGGGACAGTGACACAGTGACAGTGACAGTGACGGTGACAGTGACACAGTGACAGAGTGACAGTGACAGTGACAGTGACAGTGACACAGTGACGGTGACACAGGGACAGTGACAGGAATGGGGGGACACCGCGGGTGACGCCGCACAGGGGCTGCGCCAGGGCTCGGGTGGCACCCGGTGACATCGTGTGGCACTGGGTGTGGCACTGGGTGTGACAAAATGTGACACTGGGTGTGACATCGTGTGGCACTGGGTGTGGCACCGGGTGTGGCACCAGGTGACACAGTGTGACACTGGGTGTGACATCCTGTGACATCGTGTGACAATGGGTGTGACATCGTGTGACACTGGGTGGCACCAGGTGTGGCACCGGGTGTGGCACTGGGTGTGGCACCAGGTGACACTGTGTGATGCTGGCTCTGCCATCGTGTGACATCATGTGAGGTGACAGTGGTGGCACTGTGTGTGACGTCGTGTGACATTGGGTGTGACACCGGGTGTGACACTGCGAGTCTGGGTGTGTGACACGGGGTGTGTCACTGTGTGACACTGGCTGTGACACTGGGTGTGTGACACTGTGTGTGACTCTGTGTGTGACACCGTGTGACATTCTGTGTGACACTGTGTGACACCGTGTGTGTGTGACACCCTGTGCACCCCCGGGCAGGAGCAGGTGACACTGGTGACACCGTGCCAGGAGGTGACAGCCACCTGTCACCCCTGTGCAGGAGCGCGCACTCCCGGGCAGGATCAGGTGACACTGGTGTCACCGTGTGACACTGAGTGTGTGACACTGTGTGACATTCTGTGTGACACCGTGTGTGTGTGTGTGACACCGTGTGTGTGTGACACCGTGTGTGTGACACCCTGTGCACCCCCGAGCAGGAGCAGGTGACACTGGTGACACCGTGTGACACTGAGTGTGTGACACTGTGTGACATTCTGTGTGACACCGTGTGTGTGTGTGTGACACCGTGTGTGTGTGACACCGTGTGTGTGACACCCTGTGCACCCCCGAGCAGGAGCAGGTGACACTGGTGACACCGTGTGACACTGAGTGTGTGACACTGTGTGACATTCTGTGTGACACCGTGTGTGTGTGTGTGACACCGTGTGTGTGTGACACCGTGTGTGTGACACCCTGTGCACCCCCGAGCAGGAGCAGGTGACACTGGTGACACCGTGTGACACTGAGTGTGTGACACTGCACGTGACACAGTGTGACAGTGTGACAATGAGTGTGACAGTGGTGTGACAGTGTGACACTGAGCATGACATGAGTGTGACACTGATGTGACACTGAGTGTGACAGTGTGACACTGAGAGTGACACTGAGAGTGACACAGTGTGACAGTGTGACACTGAGGGTGACAGTGAGGGTGACACTGAGGGTGACACGAGTGTGACACTGTGACACTGAGAGTGACACGAGTGTGGCAATGTGACAGCACATGTGACACTGAGAGTGACACTGAGTGTGACACCGTGCCAGGGTGCCTCACCCTCACGTGACCCCCGTGTGACACTGCATGTGACACCGTGACACTGCATGTGACACCGTGTGACACCGTGCCAGGGTGTGACACCGTGCAACCCTGTGCGAGGGCGTGTGACAACAGTGACACCACGTGTGACACTGCGTGTGACACCGTGTGACACCGTGCCAGGGTGTGACACACTGATCAACCCTGTGCGAGGGCGTGTGACAACGGTGACACCGCGTGTGACAATGGTGACGCCGCGTGTGACACTGCATGTGACACCGTGTGACAATGGTGACACTGCATGTGACACCGTGTGACACCGTGCCAGGGTGTGACACCAGGTGTGACCCCTGTGCGAGGGCGTGTGACAATGGTGGCAC